GATTTTGAAGGATCCGGAGGACGAGACAGAGATGTTTGTGGTGTATGCGAACAGGACGGAGGAGGATATTTTGCTGAGGGAGGAGTTGGATTCGTGGGCCAAGAAAAACGAGAGGTTGAAAGTTTGGTACGTGGTGGAGAATGGTAGAGAAGGGTGGGAGTACAGTACGGGGTTCATCACGGAGAGTATCTTGAAAGAGCATATCCCGGCGGGGGCAGAGGATACTCTGGCGTTGGTGTGTGGGCCGCCACCCATGATTCAGTTTGCGGTGCAGCCCAATTTGGAAAAGTTGAATTACGACACCAAGAACTCCTTGCTAGTGTTTTGATTGGACCAAAATAAATAAAATTATTGCCTTGTTTTTTTTATTCAATGCTGTGGGAAGAAAATGGACGGTGGACGGTGCCCGGTGGATGGATTTATTTTGTAAAATAAGTAATTATATGTGAATATTAAGTTGTAAATAGTTTATTTTATTTCATGTATAATTAGGGTACGATAATTAACAAGGGTTGTCGTTTCCCTTTTCTATATATTGTATTATTCAATTTCAAACATTAATGAGTGTAGAAAAGTGGCAAGGTTGGATGTAATGAAGAGAACTAAGACGCATCCAAAACCAAATTGTGCAGTCCAGCAGGGGATGATCAACTTGAAGGGACAAGTGATATAAAGTTAAAAACATGTTACAGAAAAGGATGTGTGTGAGATGAAACTGAAAGCGAAAGAGAATTATGCATGTTTTCTAGCACCCATCTTTTCGGAGTTATCAAAGTTGCAGCTTTTTTATGCTCCTTTAAATAACATTTTTTTTTTTTAAAATTAGGATAGCTCTTCCCTTTCACTTAATTAGAGTGTACTTTTTACTTTATTTCTTTTCTTTTTTATGTTTTCTTACCTACCCTTCAACAAATTAGTTGGATATCTTTTCAAAAAAATAAAAATAAATAAAAATCTCTCTTGAAACAAGATATTTTGAAACACTTTGTTTTGGAATATTAGTATATAATAATTCACAATGGGGTTGAAAGTTGAATAGATAGCTAGATATATATGTATATGAAAAATACTTATGCTTGTCCAATGGTGAGTATTCATCTTTTGCATCAGAGAAATGTAAAAAGAAAGACTTCTTTTATTTTATTTTTTTAAAGATGTTAAATTTTTGTTGCTCAGCCCAAATTAAAGTTGTTGGTGCCAAAATTCAGTATGCTAGGACCCATTTTACAATACACAAAAGATACAAAATCAATATACTTAACGACCAGTAGACAATGGCGTGGTAGTTTGTTTGGGCAATAGATGATGATGTGGTAGTATTCTCCATGTACGCGTAACCCGCAATATCGGTCTCAAAACCCGTATGGTACTGGTTTACTAAATATGCACTCCAAAGATTAAATTATAACTTAGTTTTGAAGAGCTAAGAGGAGAGGTAAAAGTGTATAGGTAAAAGTGTATGGTCTAAAGTATCGCATATCTTTGAGAATGTTTTGACTCCTCCTTTTATAGGGGAGCAATTTGTGATAATGTGTTTCAAGAAATTCGGGATCATACCATCGGCCAAAGAGGTTATTAGTCAAGTTCTAAGAATACTCTGACATGCAAGATCGTACTACCGCCGAATGTCAGTACAATACATATTCTGTCGGGTCAATTTTGCCCGATGAAAATACGCGAGCTTGACCGCCCATCTTTTGAAATATGCAGGTTTTACCTATCTCTCGATAGTTCAGACTTGGCCCACAGTAAAATCCTCGTGATATTTGGAAATTTGTCGAAGTGTCTTACCGAATTTAAACCCATAAGAAAAGATGTTAAATTTTTATCGGTGATCTCAACAGAAATGAGTAGTAATCAATAAATATCTAAATATTATTAGATCTATTATACAACGATCGGGTTAGATTCCCGAGACGAAGATAGAGATGAATAAATGGGGATGGAGGAGGAGAATGTGGGCAGGGCAGAGCATGTGAGGGAAGTTTAATAGAGTAGAATAAAAGAGAAAATTACAGACAGACAGACAGACAGGTAATTACACAACATTATTAATTGTTATTATTTAGTAGTAGAAATATAAGGAAGAGCTGTGGTGCATGTCGCCGCGCCCAGGGGCAGGGGCCAATTTCAAAGAGCCCTACGTTGTTTCGTGAACTCAAAGGTCAACCAAAAAACCCATCTTTAGCTTCCGCGCCGCCGCCGCCTTAGCTTCTTTCCACCATTTGGACCCTACTTTCTTTTTCTTTTTCTTTTTTCTTTTTTTCTTTATTACAATTATTTCTTTTAACTATTTTAGTCGTTGGCCGCCACACGCATTGGAATCTCTTTCAATATTAAAAGATTCTACGTTACCGTTTCCAAACCAACCATAGATTTCAAATGCCACCCAATAATTGTTACCTTTTTCCTTAAATTCTATACACATTTTAATTATCGTAGTGTTTTAATTGTTTTGTTTTAGTCCCCACTTAATTAGTATTAGAATCTCTTCATCCATGTATTGTTATATAAAAAAAAAATTTAATCCCATGTCGAATAAGTATACTTTTGTGGAAGGCAGCTAATTAGGTTGTTGGCTTGACTCTAATAATGGACATTACAATAATGACAGTCATATATTAATATTTATTGTTTTAAAATGGGGAAAAAACAAACTTTTCATACCATTATATGAATTTAATAACACCCATTTTGTTTGAATTTTCTAATACAATATTGTTTGTAATTATAAAATCAAACTATATGTAGTTTGCACTACCTGAATCCGCACAACATGGAAAATGGCTCCAAAGACATTGGGTGGAAAGTCTTGGCCCATTCATGTTGTATAATATACACATTTATAATATTAATAAAGTTGAAGATGCCTTTTGTCACAAGGGCAAGGCCACAAAATATATGAATAGTCAATTGTATCATATTCATTTTCTTTATCTATATATTTTTTTTAAAAAAGTGCTTTGAAAAGTGAAAAAGAGAAATTGTTTATTTTATTGTTGGGTAGGAATGCATTATAAAGTTTTAAGATACTTGGTCCTTTTCAACTTTCATAAAAAACCTCTCCCCCCTCAATTTTTACTTGATCCTGGTCCATTGGTGTGATAGCATAATAATATGAGCACAAAAGAAAAAGCAGAGGATGAAGATATAATACTCGAGATTTATACAAGTTCCACTTAACTTTTTCCGCTCACTAAACCAAGATATATTCTTTGGAGCAACGCCGTGAGCTCGATTCTTTGGCATATCTAGTTGAGGAGAAATCATCGTACTTTCTCAGACCCATCAAAGTCTCCGATCAACCTTTGAGAAGATATAACTATTTTAACTTCTCTTTGGTCGTCTAAATCCTCTTCGTTTGTAATTATGATGCAACCATTCTTTCTCTAAATTGGAGTTCTTTCATTTTTTTTGAAGCAGTACAACAAAATAAATTAATAAGTGTCAACAAACAATAAATCAACTTAGCCACGTGGGGCATGTCAAAACCCAAGAAGATGAAACGTTCTCCTCGCATGCCTTCTTTGCCAAACTGTGTATTTGGCTTCCTTGAAATGTGCCTAAACCCCTTCAATGCCTTCTTTAACAACAATGGAGTTCTTTCATTTAGACCTTTTTTTTTGGTCTGTTTTCTCACAATGAAGTAGTTTTTTCGGGAAAAAAAAAGTTCCACTTAACTTTTTCATTAACTATTATATTATATCGTTGTTGTTATTTATTTTGTTATTCCATAAAACGGATCATTTGGTGTCAAAGAAAAAAAAAGGATCATTTAAGTCTGAGATCTTAATTTTATAGAAATATCAATATTTTTTTTTATAAAATATCAATATCTAGATATTTATAAAAAAATTCATAACAAATATTTAAAATAACAAATAAGTATTCCATTATTTTTAAATAAGTTAAAATTTTTTAATATTAATATTATATCTATATCAATAATATTTTTGACATTTTTTTTGTCAAATTTTCTTTCGTAATATTACATGCAAATATGGATTCAGATCTCATATCATAGAAACGTTGGTGGATGGATAAAAATTGAATACTCAGAATCTAGTCCATCAAATCCTACCATGTAAATTATTTATTTGTTTATTTATTTTTATATAAATTGGGCATCAACATCAAGGGTAATAATTAAAATATTAAAGGGTTTGGAGGTTTGGTTGTCGTCTTCTTCCCCAAAACGTGACTGAAGTGTTATGTCAAAAATGCATGGCCCTCGCCACACCTTTGAAAAATATCTCAAATATTATTTCCATTATTGAACTTTCCATCACATTTATCATCTTTTCTTTCGTCTATACTTGAAATTAACCTTCATTTCTGAGCAACCCATTGGTTCATTTACCTGTGGACACATCTTTCCAATTCCTGTTCCTTTGCAACAGTCTTCGAATCAGAGGTCTCTTTTTTCTTTTTTGACATAAATAAGATATTTATCACTATGACTTGTAACAAGCATTAATAAAAGGTACACTCTTTGCTCTTTATATCATTTTTTATTTTGACGACCGGAAAGATATGAGGGGTAAGTAATCGAGAGATATGAGTGAGACCACCGTATATTTTGAACTATTTTTTTTTAATTCAACAATTACGGAAATGAGATTTAACTATTGACTATTAAGATGATAACTAGTGATTTAATTATTAAGATGATAACTAGTGATTTAATTATCCTCACTTAATTAAGTTCTAATTAATATATGTATATTCACCGTAATTGATCATAATTGCTTTATATTTGAGCAAGGTAAACTAATATTTAGTTAATTACTGCGAAGTTTATTGGTATTTAAAAATTATGAGCGACTGGATGTAATAGTAGAAATTTAATATTCAATGGACCAAGTTATTGGAAGTGCTTTCGCTTTCTTTGTGGAAAAAACTAAAGCACTGAGAACGGGACTTTTCCATGAAGAATGGTCCATAAATATCTTGTGGCTTAGTGGTGCAAAAGTGCTTCAAAAGTTAGAAAGATATATATCTTTCTTTTTCTTTTTAGTACAAGACATATATCTTAAAACATTAAAAAAATATTTATTTTATTACTGTTATATGATTAATTAATTAACCATAGTAATTAACATCTACTTCTTCCCTTGAAGTTGAGATTGAAACTCCCTTACCTCAAATCAAGGGGTGACATAAATCCATCTCAACTTTATTTTACATAATCATTTTGTTTTTGTTTTATACTTTTAGGAAGTTCATTGATAATATATACCTATAAATTCACTACATTTTCAAAGAAAACAAGAACAAATACGAACCAAGAAAACATGGTCGAGAGTAAAGTTGGAAAATCAACCTATTTTTAGAAACCCCTAAAATATGATTTAGTTATTTGTACGAAATTAAGAACTAAATTATCGTTATTAATTCTTACGCAATTCTTTTTTATTTAGCTGGACAATACCTAAAAGCCCAATTAACTTCACCTAAAGTGTTGGGCCCAAAAATTACAGAAAATAAGGTTCGGCCTTGACCCAATTAAACGACCAGCTAAATGATCGGCCCATTTTGATGTTAATTTAGGGGCTATAGACGTAAATGAATTTTAATTGGCATAAAATACTTTTCTAGAAAGAAATAGAACTCATGTGACCAACATGTTCAAATTTATTATTTTTTGTTTTACCATGTGGTCAATTTTCATAATTAATTGATACGATTTGGGTCAAGTTATAAACTTATTTTGATTGAGTTGGATTCAAATAAACTTATGAGTTAGGTTAGTTCAAGATTCATTCAAAATAAAGTTTGGTTGAATCAACCGACTTGAATTTATTATTAATTTAGTTACTCACCATAATGATTATATTGATTATATATAGTTATATTTATTTTAATTTTATTTTATTTAATACTTTTTTATGGACTATTTAATCTATAACGGCTTACAAAAACAAATTTTTTTTAAAAAAAAATTTGGAGTGTACTTTTTCATATTTAATTAACATTGACTTATAAATCTTGGGTCAATGTTAGATAAAATATAAATAAATGTTTAAGATATTATTAGTTATTTATTTTTATTATACAACATTTTAAATAAATAACTCGAATAATCCAGACAAATCCAATTCAAATATTTCATAAATGGGTTGGGTTTAATTTATTGTTTAATAAAAATTGTTTGAGATGAATAAATTTATAACTTGATCAATTGCCTCAACTCAGTCCAACTAAATCGTTCATCCCCCATAAATTGAAACAACTAATCTAAATATAGTACAATTAACCTAAAAAAATGTCCTTGAAGATTTCTTGTGCCACCAAGTAAGTTATTTTATTTTTGACACACATCTCATGGTACTTATCCATTGAGATAGCCAAAATCCTCCTAAGCTATACATCTATTATTTTACATAAAGTTCTTATTTTAATTTCAACATGAGAGAGTATTTGACTAGGTAGTACCCATACTCATTGCTCATTAATAGAGCGGTGTAAATGGAGTGATCATGTGAGCTATATTTGTTAGTTTGTCATTCTATTCGTTATAATCGTATATTTAGTTATTTCTCTTTATTTACAATACAGTGATTTATATATATTACTGCACATTTGTTTTAATACTACAAGTAGGATGAGTGGATTCAAACTCATGACCTGTTGGTCAGAGACATATGCCGATTTGCACTTACTCATAGTAAAATTGAGGAAAATCAAATTTCTTCCAAAGTCATTATAAAACATTAATATCTCTCTTTACCAAAAATTAGCAGCGAATAAGTAAATTTTTACGCACCTATTATGCCTGGTTTAGGTTGCTTTGATCTTTAACATTGTTGATGTTAATTTTTATTTTCCATTTATTTTATAGGTGAATGAAGATTAGTTTTTAGAGTCTATTTTGAAGACTTTCCAAGCAACATCAGCAAAATAAAAATAAAAAGAGAAAAAAATCCAAAGATATATAGATAATTTTTAAATAAAAAAAACTGATTATTGCTTGGGAAATTATATTGAGCCTGTAAGATAGACCTTGCCAACAACCTAGGAATATAAGAATTTTGGTTATTATTTGAAGGGAGATGAGAAGACAATAATGCTGAAGTCATTGTTCTAGAGTTTCTATATCAATTGAGTTCATCATTTTCTCGTTAATTGTAGTTCTTTGAGCAGTTTAGATAGTTGAGTTCATTTCATCTTAATCATTTAATTTCTTGATGTTCAGATAAAATCAAATAAAAAATTAGTAATGAGTAATTTGTTATTTCTTGTAGAATGATAATTTACCTACGATTCATATACTTACGATTTCATTCAATACCAACTATGATTCAAAATATAAAAGAGATGTCAACATTAACAATAATTAATATATATCTCTCATCAAAATCACGTGAGCGGGAAAAAAAAAACAAATATAAAATAGATTTTTATCAAAGTCGGTTTTTTATTAATAATCTCAAATAACATATTACAAACGAATAAAGACCTTGAGATTTAAGAATTGAATTTATTACACTGACATGACCCACTTTATTAACCCTTCTATATATTCGTAAACAAAATAAATAAATTTAAAATCAAAACACCAGCAACGAACTCTCCGTATCATATTCCAAATTCTTCAATATCGGCTTCACCGTCAACTCAATCATCGGCGGCGGCCCGCAAACCAAAGCCAAAGTGTCCGGCGACGCCGCCGGAATATGCTCTCTCAGAATACCCTCTGTAATGTACCCCACGCTGTACGGCCACCCTTCTCCGCCACCCTCCTTCACCACGTGCCAAATTTTCAGCTTCTCATGCTTCTCAGCCCACGCATCCAGCTCTTCCCTCAGCAAAATATCCTCCTCCGTCCGATTCGCGTACACCACAAACATCTCCGTCTCGTCTTCAGGATCTTTTAAAATCGCCTGCACCACCTGATGGTACGAGAAAACTGTTAGATTTATCCATGTTTAATAAATATTTTAAATTTTCTAGAGAGGTTTTTGAAGGTTATTTGGTGGAGGAGGGTTTAAGAGAGTGTTTTGACCTGGTAAATGGGCGTTATCCCAGTCCCGCCGGCGACCATGGCGAGTTTCTTTGCGAACGTGGGCTTCCCGTGAACCATGAAGTTGCCCCGGCCCATGTACTCGATATGGCCCAATGGGCCCTTCACGTCCACCACCGAGCCCAGAGGGAGCGAGTCCAGGTACTGCGACATAAGGCCCCCGTTGGGGAAATTTGGATGCACGTTCTTGAAGTAGACTTTGACGACCAGGTCAAAATAACCCACTTGGTCGACGGCGCTCGACGGCGTGTACGCCCTCATACACAGCTTCCCGTCCACGGTGGCGCACAAAAATATGTGCTTTCCGACGGGTAGTCCCAGAATTTGATCTTCACACGGCAGCGCGAATCTGAAAACCCTCGTGTTGTGGGAGATCGAAGTCTTGGATACCAATTTGACCGGGATTTTTTCTCGTGGGACCAGTGCCACGTGTCGAGATGGTGTCTGCGCTGACGTCAATTCTTTGATGGGAGATGGGGAGGAGTTGTTTTCGATCAATAAATCGCCGATTCTGTAGTCTTCGAGCATGTTTTTGGCTTTGTCGGAGTGGATGGCGTCGAATTCCTCGGTGCAGTCGGTGCCGGCGTTGATCAGAATGCTGTCGGCGCCGCCCGGGTGGTCTTTCAGGAAGGGAGTGCAGTCGTACACGTGGCCGTGGACGACGATCCATGCGGATTCGGGCGAGTTGTGGGTTTTCACCTCCGACATGGAGAAAGTCTTGGAGGAGGGGATTGTGTTCTTCGTGGGTCCGGGCGCTGCATCCGTCTGATTCTTTTCCTTTTCCTTTTCCTTCCAGCCTCCGGACTGGTTTCCGGCCAGAGTTGGGTGGCGGAACACTATTCCGATCTCTCCCTTCTGCGGCTTGCATATGTTTATTTTTATTCGATACCAAGAGTTGTTCATCATGCCCTGCATGCAAATTTAATTACATATTAAGCTAAGCTAATTAATTGGTTGAATTTTAACATGTCATTTTATTAATCAATAAATACGAAAGTCAAGCAACAAGCTAGGAGGAAATAAAAATATATATTGACTAATTAATGATAATATATAGTTGAAGGAAAGAGACCGATAATATATCATTTTGGTCGTATTAAATTATTTAATCTCCACAAACCATAGATTTTGTTGGATTGCTTGATAACGAGTTAATTTTTAAATAATTTTAAGACTTTTATTATTTTTAGAATATTAACAAACGTACCATGAGATTCCAATTGAGGTTTTCGGGCTGGGTGTTGTTGGTCTCATCCCAAGCCCGGACGGCGATCTCCTTGGCTCTAAACAGGTCCACAATTTCAACCTCCACAGACCAGAAAATCCAGCACCAATATTTCCCATATTTGTTCGGCTTCTCGTGATATTCCAAATTACACATTCGCCACGTCTCCCCACCATCCAACGTCACCTGCACACGTGTCACTTTCTTCCCCCCACCTTTACCAAATATTTGAAATTAAATTAAAGTTAGTTTCTTTAATCTCACGTGGAAATAACAGAACATAATACGTGGAAATTAAAACTAATTAGGGCTCACCGGAAAATGCGTAGCCCCTCAACGTGTACGTCGTTTGCGTCGCTTGTGCGTTGATAGTCAGCGTCTCGTCGTGTGACGGCGTCGTTATGACGGAGTTTATGTTCATCTCGTAGATTACATATTCCGGTTTGTACCACCAACCTAAAATCAAAATATATAACATGATTAATAAAAAAAAAAAAAAACAATCCGATAAATTAAATTTCTCTTGATTAATTTTAAATTTATTACCCTCAGCGTTGGCCAGCTCGGAATCCAGTACGTGCGAGGGAAGGACACGATTGTCCATAAAATGATAATAGTTGTCGGATTCTCTATTGGTGACTATGATTCGCTTGAGCCACTTGACCATGCGGCCGCCGGTGAATCCCGGCACGATCATTCTCACCGGGAACCCATGGTCCGGCGGCAGATCCTCGCCGTTTTGCTTGTAGGCTATTATGATATCTCTTGATGGGTCCATTGCCATTTCTCTCCTGATGCTGGTTCCGTAGCTGCAGCCGCCGCCGCCGGGGAGGTCGTCGCCGCCTTCCATCCATACGTATAGCGCTCCTCTTTGACGGCTGAAGATGCCGCACCGTTTCAGCACTTCGCGTAATGGCACGCCCCGCCACAGTGACGTGGATGTCACGGCGGCTCCCCAGTGGAAACCTATGGTTTGTTTCATCATGTTTTGCTCCTTCCGCCGGTTTCCGGAGCACATTATAGTAACCGGAAATTCCACAGACCTGTATTAAGATTATGAATAAGTAACTAAATATATCAAAAATTAATAAAGTTAAAATGAAATTGTAAGAAGTTACCACAAATATTAAATAAATTAATATTTTGAACAATAATGAAATGCTAATCGTTTAGTACCTCCTATGAGTTTCAATCGGTATGGATTGATAAACATCTAAACATTTTTTTTTATTAATTCTTACATTTTATAGAAATTTAAGGCTTGATATTTCCAATTTTATTAACAAATCTAAGCATTTTGCAATAAAATATATGTTTCTTGTTCTTCCTTTTAAATAAGTTTCTTTTTCTATTTCAAATTTGTTCTGGAATATAAATAAAAAGATTATTGTTTTATCATATTTGAATTTATGAATTTTAACTATTGAAATTTATTTTTCTTTATTAAAAATTAAGAAAAAAAGGTCAAAATTTTTTAATAACCTGAATCCAGTGATGAGTTGGTCAAGAGTGAAGGATGTTGGAGTTTGGACAAGACCAGTGACATCGATCGTCCAGCTAGCCCAATCGGTTTTGGGGACGGGACCGTGGTTGCGGACGTAGTGAAGTGGGGCTGGCGTGATGAAGCCGTGGCGCATCAGATGGTCCAGCGGCGGCTCGGAGTTGAAAGGGTGTTTTCCGGTGAGGCGGATCATGGAAGGGTTTCTCATGATGCCACTGTCCGCCGTGCCCTCGTCCCTCGGGTCGAGAATCGACGGCTCGATTTCATCCTTACCCTTCCGGATCAAATCCCGGTAGTAACTATTCTGATCCTGATCACCATCAAAGGACGAATCTTCGTCGTCAATGGTGAGACTTTTTTCAGCCGGACGCTTTAATTTGAAACTAGCGGACCGGAAAGAGTTGCAGCGTGGAACCGGAAATTTGGCATTGGAGGCCGGTTCCAGGTCGCCGAAACCGGGGGTTTTATGATCAACAGCAGCCGCCATGATAATGATAACAATTTGGGGAACTGCTGAATTAGTGAAGAAATGAAAATGAAGATTTGAGTGATGAATTTGGAGTTGATGGATGTGGGGTTTATATAGTTCTCCAGCAATACAGGAAGCCACATGGAGGTAAGTTAATTAACATTTGAGGGCCCTACTTTGAATTGTCAAATCTTAGTTAAGATTAAGAATCAGATTTGGTCAGTGTTATTAAAAAAAAGAAAAAGAAAGGCAAGCTGTTGGGAAGGGGATTATGTTTCTAGTCCAAAAAAATATCTAGAAAATGGGAAATTTCCATGACGAATCATAAATTTGATTGCTATATGATATTTGAAGTAAAAGCAAGCGCGGTTTATAATATTGCAACTCCCAACTTAAATATAACAAATGAACGCAGAAATTACTTTGTACATGCCCCTATGTCGGTAATTTGAAAGGGTCGTGGATCTATTTCAAAGGGTAAATCTGAGGAATAAACTAAGTAAAATAATTAGAAAAATTAGAAAATTTTTGTTATATACGTGAAAAATACATAATTACTCGATGTTATTTACATAAATGTCTCTTGCTTAGTACATGCTCTCCCGTATCAAAGAGTGCTATACAGTATACATGCAACGCCCAATATAATAAGGATTCTTTTATAATAAATTATTTTATGCTCTAAAATAATGTGGCTACGTAGTTTTATATCATTTGAGGAAAATTAAAAACTATGGTTTAAGGAGATTGCAGACGCGTATTTTTCATTTTTTCCCTCTTTCTAGCATTGTGACCAAAGTGCCCTTGCCTTTTAATTGCCCAATCCTTTTAAGGTAGGTTGAATGGGTTAAGAGCAAACTTTTTTCTTAGGTTGAATGAAATTTATTTGATAGTTCACACTATAAAGAGGAAATTACATAACATAAAGTAAATATGTATTCTCGAATACAAGGTAGGAAGTTTAAAATTTTATAAAGATAACATATATTTCAAACAAAAGTTATTTATTTATTTATTTTTTTACAACAAATATGGGGATATTTTCAATCTCTATCGAATTATCATATTAATATTCATTGAATTCTGTCTCAAAACCAATTAGTAATGAGAGAAGTAGCTCATGTCTATTATAAACTTCTCTTATTTTATGAGTGTGGGATCCTTATCAGACCAGTCAAATTTATGTTGTATTTAAAATAAATGAAAAGTTGGGATATTTTTCAAAATACATATTAAATCTATGTTATGGAGTGAGAAATTTCTCTAATATAATTTTCTTGTATCTCTCTAAACATATTTCCTTAGAATTTTATCGTTTACAAAATTGTACAACATTTTTTCTTTTTTACCAAGATGATTAAGATTTAAAATTTGAACATAAACTTTAATCCATATGAACATCGGCAAATTGAACTAGAATTAGTGGGAAACTATATCATTTGTTTAAAAAACTACTTGCTAACTCGATTTTTAAAAACAAATACTAAAATTTGGAATAACTTAAATTGACTTGACTTTCTAAGGTGGAAAAACAAAATAAAAAGATAAGAAAATGGACCAAACTAACTTACAATAACCTTACCAACAAAAACAAACTTCAGTTGAAGCAGTCTTAAAATGCAAATAACAAAACTTCAGTCAATTTATTCTATTTTAATTTACATCCCCAGTTTTTCGCGTTTTGACACAATTTTTTTAGTGTGAAAAATGGAGCCTATAAAAATTTCAGTTCTAAAATTATACTAAATTAGTTATGATGGGTTGGTTCAAATTAAATTAATTATATATTAATTGCCGGAAGTTTAATTGAGAAGAGTGATTAAAGAGATTAAGCAAATAAAAAAGCCAAGATCGGTTTAAAAAGAATATTTGAACTAAAATGATTCAATCAAAACTTGTTAGCCAATCAAATAACCAAAGTTAAACTAAATTAAACTGAACGCCAATATGTAATATAAAAACAAATAACCATACCATTTTTCTTTTTGTTGATTTAATTTGGACTATCAATTCACCTCGATTTTGTACACCTCTAAGATCGCTAACCGACCTATGGTTAAAATAATACAATTTTGATCTTAAAATTTATATACATGTGTGTATGAATGCATCGACATAGTTAAACAATTAGTTTGAAATTACAATCTTTGAATCACAAATAAATTATGTGGTAATCATTTCAATCAATTTACTAGAAAAAAAATCATTATATATATATATAGTAGGTTAAAAAAATTTTTGGATAGATTTGATTTAGTAAGATGATTAAATTATAAATTAAGAACCTTCTAATACTTGGTCGTATATAAATTTACTCAAGATCAATATTTTTTTATAAATTAAACGTTGAAAATTAATATCTAGTAAGAGAGGATTAAAAAATTCATGTGTAATTTTTTTTTTCCCTTTTGAGGTAGTACAAGTATATATTAAAACATTTAGGCCATGATTTATTTGGTCTGAAAATTTCATTCATATATAACAATTACTGAGGAAAAGAAAATCTATTGAGTTCATGCACTTTGAAGAGTTTGAACCTTGTTAATGGCCAAATACGTGTTGACAATTTCCAAGTCAACAGTCCAGAACTGTTCAATTATTATTTTATATAACTACCAATAATTCGTATCGTTGTTTTTCCAAATATTAAGGGCCTGTGTCATCAACACGTCATCCGTTTTTCTGTTTGTTTTTGTCTTTTTTTGTTCAAAATATTATACTTGGAAGTTAAGTAAATACGGGTTAATTATTATTTTTTCCTTTGCAAAAAAAATTATTATTTTTTCTAGGACAAATTTGGGAGGGTAGGAATTTGAACCTCGAGGAATTATATGTTTTTACTACTATAATTATACTGGCGTAAATTTTTGTAATGTAATGCATGAATTTGTGTGAAATAAAATTTTAATTTTGATGTTCATTTGTTAATAAATTATTTAACAACAAATGACATGGATAAATGGTCTATTCATTTGCTTAATCAATAAATATCTATGGAAATAAGTGTATTGGAAGCATATCATAATTCTTAACGATGAATAAATAATCACCCAAGTCAAAGTTTAAATCGATAGATTGAATAAATTTAATTCATTTATGAGTATCTCAACGATAATTTAAATTTTTATTTGATAATTATTTCATTTCTTATTTTTATTTTATTACATTATGTTCTTTTTCCCACAATTTCTTTTTGGTACATTTCACTTTTAAAAATACATTTAACTTTTTAACCGAATTTTAAAAACAAAAACTTTTTTTCTTTTTTTTAAACTTGGTCTGGATTTTGAATATGTTTTCAAGATAACAAAATAAATTATAAATTGAGTACTATAAAAATAGAAATCAACACATATATAACAAAATAAAGTAACACACATTTATAATCTTAATTTTCAAAAATATAAAATAAATACAAAATAGTCAAACAGGATCTTAAGAGTTTTAGGTTTCAAAATAGATTTTGGTTCTTATTTCATGATTAATGTAAAAGATAACTAGATGCACTAAAATAATTTCATCTTTAAACTAAAATTTAAAGACTAAAAAAGATCATTTAAAAATTTGGAGGCTAAAACAAAATAAGTATTTTAAGAAAAACATGCATAAATAAATTTAGAATGCATTTGGTTGTTATTTACTATGAACAAAATAAAAAGAATAAAAATTTTACTTAAAAACGTTTTTAAAAATAAATAATACATGTTATTTTCAACTATGTTTATATTTATTATATATTCTACATGTAAATAATGCCTTTTTTAGTAGAAAGAAGGTGGTGTGTGAAAACTTGAGTCTATTACCTCAGACAAAACGAGGTAGATATTTTTATCATAGTTCATATTAGCAAGATGATTAAATAGACCATCATAAAAATTTGAAAATAGGAAAAGAAATAGTTTTTATGTGCCAAGGAAAGCAAATGAGAAGTACATTATTAACGTCACTTTATAATTATTATTTCAATTGTTTTTTTTTTAATATAACATATTGCAATATGAGTCTTAAAAAGGTTTTTTTGGGTTCATTTTTTAAAAATAACGGTGGTCAATAAAAAATAGACCGATAATCTATTCATTAAATATTTATTAAAATCTAACTTTACTTAAAGATGAAGAAACTATTCATTAAATATTTATTAAAACTGGTTAACCATTACGAATTGGTAAAACATTAGCTTAATCTATTGTTTTATTTACCATCCTTGATTATCAATAAATATGATACTTGCCACAAAAAAAAAAAATGTAATACGTTCACTAGCTAGTTTTTCATGGAAAGATTAAAAATAATTATTATGCTTCAAAATTGGTTCGTTATTGATCTTGATGGGTTTTCCACGGAGTTTTAAAATGCAACAAATTCTACTTTGAAAACCAAATTTGAGTTAATGCGAACAAAGACATCTTTAAGTAAGATTCTAGAAAAAAGAGAAAAACAAATCAAACATACTCAATAAAGTAAACCAATTCATAGAATTGTTACGAGAAAATTCCATTGAATAATTTATCGATTGAACATCCAACCTATTTTCATAATAGTAGGATCACTAAAATCGACTTGATCGATTGTTCAATTTAATCATGTTTCATAGATGGTTGGCAAGTATGGTAGAGTCTTTGCGGGTGATGACTTAGCTAAAAAATCTAACATAACAATACATAGCCATTATTTAATTTATAAACTAAATTCTCCAACAAAATTAATTAACACATGTGTATTTAATTGTCTTGCCTCCATTCCGTCACCATCTAGTACGATTTGCAAAACGTGATTAGAGTGCTTATTAACCACATATTTTAAAAAATAAGCTCTCACTTCATAATTATCTTATACATTTCATTTTTCTAATACAAAACACATCCAGAAGTTCATACTTATTGAACAAAATTTTGGATTAATTAAAAGCCCCAATAAGTGGGAGTGGCGTAATTAAATCTCAAATTAAGTGTCGTGTTAATATTAATACTCATTACAATATTACATCTTTATGATCAATATGCTTAATAATGACTAAATAAAAATAAAAAATTAATTAGTACAATAAA